CTAGCAGAGGAAGACACAGAATGTAGGAAGGCAAAGAGGTCATGCTGGTTTCCAGCAGCATCACCTGCAGCACCTTTGCCTTTCATCCCTGGAAACGTGTCTGGTTCAGTGACACCACCAGAGCCAAGACAAGGGCCAGGACTCTGCCTTCAGCTGAACCACAATGGGAACAGAGAGTTCCCAGAGAGCAGTCAGGGAAACCCGCAAAAAAAACAAAACCAAAACCAACCAAACAAAAAAACCCCACACACCCCCAAACAAACAAACAAACCAACAAACAACAAAAAATAAACCAAACAAAAACAAACAAAAACAAACAAAACAAGCAAACAAAAACACACAAACCCCCCCCCCAAATAAAACAAAAATAAAACAAAAAAACCGCATTCCCAAAACACTGAAACAAAAATAAAATCCCCAGTGAAGCCCCTATACCTGTTGAGGAAAATGCTACTGACGTCGTCGTGGCTGATGGGAGGCTTCTTGGAGCTGGCTGCCATCCTGAGGGGCCGCAGGAAACAGTTCACCAGGACATAAAGCTGGTGCACATACTCAGACTCAGCCTCCACCATGTTGAAAACTATCTGGTTCCTCTTCCTCATGCTCTCTGCATGAGGAGAACAAATATAATCTTGGACGATGGTTTTCCATTTCCTTCTGCACAACCAGCCCCGCATAAAGCTCTGAACCTGGAAAGGGATCAAGCAGAAAAAGAAAGTAAGGAAAAAAACACATTGCTTATCATAAGCTCCTCACTGTAGAAATAACCCTCAGCATTAAAAGTCTTTGCTCAGAAATAAAAATGTTCCCTTATTGATATATAATTGTTCTGTAATTAAATATATTTTACATATCTGTTTGTTAAGGGTCATAATTGTTGCCAGGAAACGGACTGTGAAATATGGCATACATAGAAGGGAATTTCTCACTGCAAGCTGGAGTATTGTCTCCTTCCCATTAGCAGGAGTGCAGCCCTTTCTTCCTGCTCCTAAAACATTTCTCTTCCACCCCAGAGGTATCCTGCAATACCTCCAGGTAACACATTCCAACACAGACTCAATATCATTATTGGCAGAGTTCCTAAATGATTTTTTTTAAGCTCAGTTTGCTTTCCATTTTGAACAGATAACACTTGGTATGTGTATTTAAAGCTATGTATCAATACATTGCTTGGTATCAGACACGAAGGCAGCAAACATGGTATTCAAAAAGACAGATTTCTGGCATTCTTAAAAAGCACCTCTATGTCATGGAAAAATCTAACTAAGCACAGTATCTGTTGAAGTTGCAAGTGGATCAAAGATTACAGAAGAGGTCTATATCTGGTCACAGGAAATTTCATTATGTCTGTGCCCTGATCTTGATGTGAAGATCATTCATCTTGAAAGAGAAGTGCAAAATTTAGCTGATATCAGTTTGCTCTGTAAAAATAATTTTAAAAAAAACCAGAGGCCCAACTGTCAAAATGATCAAGATGCAGAATGCAGTGAATTACACACAGATACAAAGCTCTCTTGCTACTAAAAGGGGCATTCCCAGCTTCTGCAACCATGGTTAATCTACACAAAAAAGAAAATTCACACCAAGTTACCAGCACAGTGCTGACCCTAACTCAAACTGCACACCCCAGAAAAAGACAGAAAATAGACATGTTCCATAAAGGATTTTATGCAAAGACATCACCAGATTAAACGTGGCACTAAAAGATATATAACTGAGGAGATTTAAGGAGGGGTAGAGCAAAGGAAGACTTGCTATTTGACTATACTTTAAAAATAATAAATAAAACTAGACAGGCCAAAATACGGAAGTACACTCCTCATCCCACCCTTCTCCCTTCAAGCACAAAAGATTTCATGTTTACCTTCTTAATTTTTTTGATATCTGGATCTTCATCATCCTGGTTGCCTTGATAAGGCCGCATTTTTTCCTTTGTTTTATTCAGTGCTACAATCTGACAAAACCAAACAGTCATTAAGTGCTTCCTCGAGTTAATGAAACCTTTGGTTGGAGAACTAATAGAACAAAAACTTCCCCTCCTCCCAGGCTGTGGAAGGGGCACAGAATGACCAGCACACATTTGGGGACAGGGACTGGAGCTCTTCAGGCCAGCACAGATCCCTGTCCAGCTGGAAAGGGGACCCAGAACGAGCAGGTTCTGCCCTCAAAATTAACGGTGCTTTTTGGGCTTTATCAGCCTGGGACTGCAACAACGTTTTTGACAACATCCAGGGAATCAGAGCAGTCTGGAACAGTCCTTAACACCATCACAGCCAAACTGAAGCTTGAAGGCAGGGAGGAGACAATGCAATCAGTGGCACCCACTCTGCAAAGCAGTGTGTCATCTTAAATGCTCTGACAGGAAAAGAAACCAAATCAGCCCAACAGGCTGCAATATTTCAAAGAAAATTGTTTATCCAAGGAGTCACTGTGGGACTGTGACATATTAACCTCACTGGGTTCTGCCACTTTCACAGAATACTGCAGAAATACTGAATACCATTGACACCTTAATATTTACCTTTCACATTTTCCACATTCTGC